CATTCCCTGTCCCCCTGCGCCACTTGGGGAGAGGAGGTGGAGACTTCGGGAGTGAAGTTAAGCCTGGAAAGAAGGGAAGGGTGGTAGGAAGGTGTTTTTAAGATTTAGTTTTTATTTCTCATTATCCTACTCTGATTTGATTGGTAATAAATTAAACTAATTTCCCCAAGTCGAGTCTGTTTTGCCCGTGACGGTAATTGGTGAGTGATCTCTCCCTGTCCTTATCTCAACCCACGAGTCTTTTGTTGTATTTTCTCTCCCCTGTCCAGCTAAGGAGGGGAGTGATAGAGCGGCTTTGGTGGGCACCTGGCATCCAGCCTGGGTCAACCCACCACATGCCCCCCCATTACTATGTATTTCTCAAACAGTAATAATAAATCCCTTCTAAGAGAGGAAAAAGGACAGTTAGCATAGACATTGGTTAATCTGCCAAGCCATAATATGCATAACTTTTTAAAAGTCAGAATGACTGAGTATGTCAATAGGAAAATATATTTATTTAATCAAGTTTTACCATCTATACTATTACTCAGACTGAAGGCGAGTGCCATGTCCTTGAACGTCAGAGAGCATGCAAACTAGAAATGCCAGTTTGCACAGAATTAGTTTAATTATGTAAAAATAATCTATTTTTCTACTCAAAAATTCAAAGATTTAGACCTCCCAAAAAATCGAATGTAGAAAACGTTAAGATCCACCACCCCAGAAAAGCAGCTTACATAACAGAAATTTCAGCAGAGTACTTTCGAGTACTTTCCACATATCTCTTTAGGGAAGAGAATCAGATGAAATAGTGATTATTGTGGTATATTTTCCTTCTCACTGTGTGTTAAAAATATATTTAATGCCCAATCAGTATACACAGCTAAGGTTAACTATGACTGTGTAAGGATCTTACCAGGCTCCTTCTTCTCTCTCTTAGGTTTAGGGGTTTTAGTTGCTGTGGCTGATGTATTTAGTGAGTCATCCCCACCACCTTCAGCTGGCACACCACCAAATTCTTCATCAAATTCCATTTTTATTGCTAGAGAATCAGTTTCACCCTATAAATATAAAAAAGTTGGGCAAAACAAAATAAATTACACCTTTATATTTCAACATAGAACTGGAATAGTTTTGTAGAAGATAATAAATGAAAATAGACTAGTATATTGACATTTGTTGAACAGTCTTGGAAAGAAGAAATCTCAATAAAAACACCTGAACAATAAGTAGTCACAAGAGGCTTGCAAATGTAAAAGAAATCCAGTATTAACTCCTTCATGCATTAGGTCAGCAAAACAGTATAAATACAGCATTAATGAGGTCTAGCAGTTTGAATTTATGCTACCAGATTAGAAAACGACAGCAGTTAAATAATAAATAACCTAACTATAGCAATAGTTTTGATTTACCTTTTTCTTTTTCAGCAATTTCCTACTGGCATCAGCTTTCATGGCAGATGTAATCTGTGGAACTATTCTTCTGCCAAATGGTGACGGCATGGTCTCTTCCAACTGAAGTTTCTTCATCTTGGGTTTACCAACTTTGCCTTTTATTGGTTTGCCCACCATGCCAGCCAAAACATCTTCTCTTTCCTGTGCTTCTACTTTCTAACAAATAAGCGGGGCGGGGTGGGGGGAACACATTCTTTTTTAATGAGGACAAAGTGCAACATGGTGATTATTTAAGATTCATCTCCTTTTAACATGGAGCATAAGACTTCCCTTAATTCTCACTTGAATTGTAACACACCTTCCAGTAGCAGAAAACCAACCACTTAATCGTGGTAAATTTTTCATTACCCTGTACAGTTAAAACCTACACTTTTATTCAAGATTAAATGAGCACAAACTTTTGGACTCTGAAAATCTTTCTTTTATCAAATTTCTACTTCTCATATATGTGTCTTTTCATGTATGTATGTATGTATGTATGATGTAACTTTTCAGTATTTCAGCATTTAATTTAAGCAGCTGGTTTCTAGCATCATTTTTAAGGTACATTTTCCAGTCCTTTAATCAACTTTTTTCACAGTATGAACATATAGCTGAAATACAGACATCCGAACAGAACACTTCCAATTGCAGCTGTACCACGAACACACAGAGAAATAAAACAAACGTCTTATTTCTATTATCCTGTGTCACTTCAAAAGATTACATCAGCCCTTTTCAGTCAACATTTAAAGCTGAGGCTCAGCAAGTTAACCACCAATAGGATTTCACCTTTTTCCACAGTTACTGATGAGGCAAAGTAAGAGCCCCTCATATAGTACTTACGGTCTACACGCTTTGTTCCTACATCGACAGCTTTGCATTTGACAATACTTATTGCCTCACAACCAATTAGATCATGTAGAACTACTATAATTATTACTATTACCAGCTACTACTCCCAGTTTTTTGTCATCTGAAAACAAATTTTCTCCTGGTCATTTTATCATCACTGACTTGGAAAAAACATTGAATTGTATAGATGCAAGAGACAATTCCTGAGGAACACAACTAGGAACACAAATACCCAATATTGATCTCCCACTTATTTGGGGGTCTATCTGCTTTTAATCCAAAATGTGGTATTTTTTATTATTTTTTGCTTAAATTTTAATACTTGCAATTAATTAATGCTTTTAATTAAATTAATTTAAATGTAATATTTTTTGAAAGATATGTAAAATAAAACATACTTCAAGCTCTTCAACAAAGGCTGCTAAATCTTCTTTCCAGAGATCTGAAGAAGATTTCCTTTTAAGGTCATTTAGTTCCCTCTCCTAAAACATGAAAGTAGTATATAGAATGTAAGTTACGAGGTTACAACTAAAGTAAATACTATCGAAACTGGACATTCACAATTCGACACATCAGTAATTACTGTATCATTGCAGAACAAGCCTTCCATGGTGTACCAACCTTTGAATCTCTCTGCTTAATTAACTCTTCTACTTTCTCTTTCGTGAGTGACCACAGAGACATGTTTAAGATGTAGTTAAAGTCAGGGCCAGAAGTTGAGCCAGAAGCAGAGGAAGCATCATCATTTGGGTTCTGTGGGTCCTCCTCTTCTGCTGCCTAAAGTGAAATATTCACAATTACAAGTATTAATAATCTTAGCTCTATGCATGAACTGTAACACTGCTCCAAAGCATCATCATAGAGTAGCAAGGTGTGCCCTCATAGATTCAATAACCTTAACATTTTTCTGGACCTTTCCAAAAGGCCGTGTTCCTGTGACCTTCTATAGCTGGATTACTTAATCATTAGTTTCATCTTTCCATGGTAAAGCGTGAAATTAAGCCTGTCACACATCTCTTCTGGAACAATAAAAAAACTCTTGGGTTTTAAAAAAGCAGAAATAAGGTCAAGGTCAAATTTATTAAAGCAAGTTCAAAAGTCATAGCTTTCTAATATTCATGTTTCATTACAGAAAATAAATAATTACATTTTTGCAATCATACAACAAATAAATAATAAGGGGAAAATCAGTTATATGTGTGGGGTAACTGACGCAGCATTTTATGTATCAGCCAGTCAGAAATCAAGTTGCCAGTTTTGATTTGGGTATGTTAAGAAATTCAATCCTCTGCATTCTCATTTTCAGACTTGTATTATCTAGTTTTCTTCTAAGAATTATCCATATATGATACCAATACTATGCGACAATATTTTTGTACAAGTTTAATGTATTTTTAAAAATGGAAGCCAATAAGGAGTAATGAACAGTCTTTTTAAAGTGTTATGTGTGTTATAAATTAAGTTAGACTACCAGAAAACAAACATCTGAACAAATGAATATAATTTATAACATTAACAACATCAAATATATCCAGAGATTTCAGATTATTACCTTTTCCTGTGCTTCTTTCCAGGCTTTTACTGGATCAGATTCATAACCTCTCTGAACTAACATCTGAATCAAATCTCTTTTTGATCTGTTCTCTACAAGACACACACACAAAACCCGGGGGGGGGGGGGAGGGGGGAAGAAAAAAAAAAAAATCAGTGTCATGAAAATAAATGTCTTACATGCAAGTACATTCTACTATACTTAAATAATTTCCAGATTTTCCCCCATTGTTACCAATTCTAACTTGCATTTACTCACCTATGGTAATTTTTCCTTGTATCTTCTCTAGAATGAAACGAGCTTGATTGTTAAGCTTGGTAGATTCTGCACCCAACATTCCCACAAGCCATTCCTTGCGTAAACTATAATAATGTAATCGCAAATCGAAGAACTCCTTCAAGATGTCTTGCACAGTTTCATACTTCTTTAAACATCCCATATGATCAAATAGCACCTATAAAATACATAATATACTGCTTGAGAGAGATTGCATAATTCAAACTTTGTTAACCTTTGTGTATGAGTTTATTTCTATTGCACATACACATGCACCATACAAAAAGTGGTATTTTGAAGACTGTGAACTCAAAACTTACTATGGAACTACACAGCACATAGCTGGATAGATTTTATTTTTATTCACAAGTGGATTTAAGATGAGATTTATGGTAACACGTTCGAACAGGAAGACAGCTATATAGAGAAATATGCCTGAATTCAGTTGAATGACTAATTTTATCTAAATATTAAAGCACAAGTTCAGTAGCACCTGATGATTCACAGTTGAAAAGCATCTTTAACAGTCTTTCAGTTCAGCTGTGAAATCTGCCACTTTTCATCTGTGAAAACTGCCACCCTTCAAGTTCAAGCACTAACAAAGTAAGAAATCATTTTTACATCATAGGTGGAATCAATCCTGCCTGACTTCTGATATCTCCAGTTTAGACATTTATAGGTGAACTGGTCACCCTAGGCGCCCTCTACCGCCAACTGAAAGAAATAAGCCCTTCTAGAGGCAATTCATCCATCTGAAGTACCTATTTGAGAGTTGGGTGAACCACAACTAGCTCACGTAACTTTGAGATGCTTACACTAGGGCAGATTAATTCCTACACATACACAGAAAGCAGCCCTTACCATTTATTTCAGTAGGCAGAAAATGCAGTATTAAGCTGCAAAACTTTTTGTACTCTATTAAACATTAATTTGAAGACAGATTCTCACAGTAGTTCATGTGGTTGGTTAAACCTGTGAGAAATAGTATCACCTTGATTTGGTAGATTCGCTTTTCAAGCATAATCTACAAAATGGCTTAAGCAAGGCCTTTTTCGTCTTCCAGTTCTATGGTCTTTAATTTATTTTTAATCTATTTTCACATAGCTTTTGATTTATATAATAATAGCAACAGTAATGGTATTTTCGCTTCGTGATAATATCTGAAAGTAGTATCTGCCATAAAAAAAGTAGAATTGTTTTTTCAGTCTCTGTAAAAACAGGTTGTTAGGAAATATTCTGGCAGAAATTATCTTACAATTCAAATCCCTCTCGCAATAGACAGACATACATTTACTCGCATTCTTACTCCCATCCTGCTTCAAGCAGAATAAACCATGTAAGTAATTTACATCACTATTACGTCTTCAGCAGCTTAAGGATAGTGTTTTCTATACCTTACAACCTAAAATGGGATTTATGTTGGTGGAAACATTGGATCATTTAACTCCTAATAGAGGAGTAATAGTCCTGCATAAAGCGCAATTTTGAAAATGTAACTTGTCTCAAGTTTAAAACTCAAATCTAATTATAATAGGGCAGAAAGTTATTTGTATGATCTACTTTACATTAACCAATTTTGGTTAGCTACACAGGAAATTTTCAGTTACAGGAAACCAACCACCCTGAGCCTGTCTAATTTGATTTGAAAGATTCATCAGGACTAAAATGGATTTGCTGATCCATATTGACTTAATATTTGTCATCACTACTATTTTCTACAATTCAAACAATTTCATATACACAATACACTGTTCAATACCAAGTACCAAAGTACACTACCAAAACATTTGAGTTTATAACAAGCAACTGTAAGGATTCTGATAGCCAAACATGAAAAAGTTACCATAGAATTACAAGTAAGACTTGTTTGAAGCTTAAAAACTTTGTGCAATCCAGCAGCTTCTGCCTGTGCAAGTTTTTCTTCTGTCATCTTCACAACAAATTTCACAGTCGTATCAGTGTGGTATTCCTTATAGTCAGAAATTAATGCTGGAGTTTTTTCAGTCCCATTCAACATAGGTTCTAGAACCTGTTCTTTGTACACCTATTAAAAATAGGGTAGCAAAAACCAGAAACACTTCTTAAAATCCCTAATTACTTAAGCCAACTGAACAACATAAGATTTCAAAGCTTTGTGCATTACATCTGATACCAGTTATAATTTACAGAACCAGTATAAAAGAGGACAGAAAAGTCTACTCAAAAGAAAAAGGGAATTAAATATTAATTCAACAGGAGAAGCAGGTATTCTTTGTAGTATGGACAGTAGATGGCACAAGTAGAAAACCATCTTCTACAAAGGCACACAAAAGAATGAAACCATGTTCCCTTCCATGTATGTATAATCATCAGAAATTGTATTAAAAGTTCATCCGGATGTAGGATTAAATAATTTAATAAGGAGCTTTTTGGGGTTTTTTTGTTTTTATGTAAATGTATTTTACTGTAATGTACCTGGGTCCATGTCCTCACAGGAAGCTCTGTAATTTCTACTGTGTTCCTGTCCACCACAAATATTTCACCACTGACTACATACTGGTTTTGACCAAGTTCCTGAATGGTTCCTTTGAAGTTTTTGTAGTTTGGGAGCTGAAATTGAAAAAAACAGCAAAGTGGTAACAATCTTTATAATAAAACGTCGGAAAAACATTTGTTTCCCATACACCATACAGCTATCACTTTATATTGCACTAATCCATCAACCAGCCTCTCATGCCTGTGAAAATCTTAAGTCAGGAAAAATACTACATAAAAAACTGAATACACACATGCAAGCGACAGGAGCAAGTATCTTAACATCTACAGAGTAGACACATGATTAAGAAGATGCAGCTGAACCCAGTGAGGTGGTGGGTTTTTGTTTGTGGGGTTTTTTGTTTGTTTTTTTTTTTTCTTTTTTAAAGAAAACTGCAAGCACAGATAAGGCATGACAGAACGCAGATTAACACCCCAGTCTCACAGTAACTTTACAGAAGTGGTGCTACCTCCCCTAACCATTTTTTCATTCTTGTGCTGTTTGGCAAAGATAGTGGAACCCATCCAGTTTAAAAAGTAACTAACAGGGTGGGGAATTTTTTTTAACTGAATTGATTCCCTTATCCAGCTTACCATGCAGCCACAAACACATACCAGCATACAGAAAGGAGCTAGATGGAGGCAGAACTGCCTCTTTCAACCACAGTGAAGCTTCAATTGACTGTGAGACTACACAGAAGGCCTAGGAATCCTAAAGGAAGGGCAATGGATTGCATTAATTTAAAAAAAAAAAAAAAAAAATCTATTCATTGTTCCCAAGAATTTGCAAAAGGAAATTCACTATGTCATGAAACTTGATACTGCACACTCAGTGAATTGTGATCTAAAAAGAGAAGAAAAGATGTTTCTGCTTCTATGACTTGGTAAACGCAGCAAAGTAGCAATATCCGTAGTTGTAAAGTAAAGGTTACATTATCTGTATTTCATCTGTTGGTTACAGATATTCTGGGTTCACCCAGCTATCCTTCCTGTGCAAATTTTTTCAAGTACACACCACTTCCAAAACTTGTATAAAATTTTAAATAAAAGAACAGAAGCTAGATGCAGTTCAGAAGCTGCTGATTTTCTTGAACAGTGACAATATCTTCTCCTATGCTTACAGATATATAAAAGAAAGTACAATTCAGGCAAGACAGAGGAAATGTTAAGTTTGGCTGAAGATAAGTAGTAGTACCTCAACTTTTTACTCTACTGCCATGTCATAACTACCCTGTAAGACTTGCAACTGTGAAGGCTTACAGTCAGCAGACTGAAGAAAAAGTTCTCTGAAGTAATTGGAAAAATACAAACTGCATTGTTTTTGCTTCAAGGTGAACTTCCCCAGCCTCATCCCAACAGTCAAGTAAAGCTCCCAGACAAAATTACTGGGACAATCCAACTCAGTTGTTCCAATAATCAAGGATTTCTAGAGTGATATGAATTAAATTTGTAAGTACAAAATAAGGTTTGTTTAGCAAACATATAAAATACCAGTATATACTACTATTTTTACCATCGGGTGGGGATCTAAGCCATCCAGCATTCGTCTGACATTGTTTACAATCTCTCTGGTATCGTAGTTTGGAAGTTTGCAAGCCCATCCGGTACCAATTCCTTCAGCTCCATTTACTAAAACCATAGGAATGATGGGAATATACCATTCAGGCTCTACACGCTGGTTGTCATCATAAAGGAATTTAAGCAAGTTGTCATCCACTGATGGAAAAAGCAGCCTTGCTAAAGGGCTTTAAAAAAGAAAAAGAAGAAAACTGTTTATCTGAAGTCCAGTAAGTAAAGTACATAATGCCTTAACAGTCCATGGGACCAGATATGATCTATTTGTAGATATTTCTCATGTATTCCTTTCTCTTTGCCATTCTGAAGCTGAAAATACAATGTACATACCTCCTGAGAAAAGGAAGTTCTTCCCAATGGAAGAGTGTGTTCATAACAGATCATGTTTGTTTCCTCCACAATAACACATGTACACAATACACTAGTAATTGATGACATTTAACATCTACAAAAATATCATTCCTTGAAGCATTCAGAAGACACAGTTCAATGTGACAGTAGGTCACCCAGTAATAAAGCAATACAGCATGCAAATAGTTGCAAAACTTCGTTGCTTAATTGTAGGCCTAGCAGTCTCTGAAAATTCTACAGTGGTTTTACTGGTGACTCCTTTTGCTCATCTAGAACATTGTCCTGGGTGAATATGATTTCCAGCACCTCATACAAAAAGGAAAATGTACAAAACTGGGTTGCTACAGAAAGAACATATATGAGAAAGGGAATAAAACCTGATACTTACGTACAAAGTTTACAGTTAGAGGAAAAGAAGAAACTACAAGGAATTTTAGGCAAAATATCACACTGAAATTAGGAAATAAAAGCAGCAACATAACTTACAAAAATACTGTAATTCACATTAAGGAACTCATTCTAACACTCTGCATGCCAAATTGAATTTCAAGGTATTAGCTGTGAAAAATCAGCATCATTAAATTAGGTCTTCATTATTAATTATAATTATGTATATTATTGTATTATTATTATGTATTATAATTATGTATGTGTAATTTAGCTTGATATGAAGAAACTCATCTGAAAGGAAAAGAATCCGTCTCAACTTTCAAGTCTATGCCGAGTTGCAGGACTTATCACCAGGTAGCAATACACTTTCAGTGTGAAATCTATTCAGTTTCACAATAGAACAGGGAAACTGAAAGCTACTTCTGCAAGAAGACACAATTTAAGATCAGTAACTAATCTGAGCGATCTACATTTTTAGTCTTCAGCCTTATGATTCAAAGTTCAATTCCTTAAAAGCTACAATCCCCACAACATTTCTATGGATGGAAAATCATCAAAAAATCCATGTACAAAAACACACTTACAGATGTAAAGCAGAATTTGAGCTTCTACCAAAATATTCCTATCCTTCCCCACTCCTCTCCCACAAAAAAAATGTAGTGTTGTGAAAGGATTAGTTTAATAACAAGACTTTTTAAAAGCATGCATTTAACTTTACATTTGTGTTTACCTTAACATGGTGAAAATATAGCGAGGGCTGGCAGCATCCTTTCCACCATGAAGCCTGGTACCAAACTGCCCAATAGGTTGTAGCAGATTAACATTGTTACTGCCAACAAAGTTCTGAGCCAAGTTGACAATAGTCATCATTAACGCTTGCTGCAAGAAAATACATATTCATGTAAGTAGTAAGTATAAGAAGAGATAGTCTTTCCTAATCAGCGAATAAAATATATTTTTGATGCCCCAAAATTGTGTGACTAACCTGAACTCGATTTCAAAAAAGTAGTCTTCCTGAGAAAGGAATGTTGTAAACGTATTACAAGAGCTGCTGGCAAAACATAATGCTTCCTCTTCCACAGCCACATTGCCTCCCTGATTTAAGTGTCCTTACATTCTATGCTTAGGAAAAAACCCTGGGCTTCTCCATTTTTTCTAAAGCACTTTTCTGGAGTAATGAAAGGGGCACAGACTGACTGCACTTACTACTGCACAAACTACTACTCGTTGCTTTTAAAGAGAGAGAAGAAGGCATGGAGAGAGACTGTCAATACGGCAACTCTTGCCAATATTTCGGATAAATACAAACAAAACAGGAGATAGTAATAATCTTTGTTCCAACATTGTATCAGGTTTTTGAAGAACAGTATCTCTTGTTCTTACCTTAAAAGACTATATTTCTTGTTTAAGACAAAAATTGTCCTAGTACATATTTCCTATATTCCTATGATTTGAGAATCTAGAAGTTACCTAGGTAATTAGTTATCTACTATTTTGCCACAACCCACAAACTATTTGGGATACCACTGTGCACAAAGACTTGGAAATAACAGAAATATGCTGTCTTAAGCTATATAATGTTTGGTTCATTTTCTTTAAAAGTAAATCTGTGATTAGTAGACTTACATAGTCAATAGGTTTGCAATTTCAATACAGTAAACATTTACCTAATATTTTACATAGGCTAAAAATCCTCACAACTTTACCATCCTTCATACTCACCTCCCCATGGTGATAAGCTGACATTTCAGCAACAGAACCAGCCAGCTGAGCAACCTTTACTTCACGTTTATCATTTCTCTTAAAGCAAGTGAATAAAACTTTGCGCTGCCCTGGTTTTAAACCTATTAAGAAGAATATCCCATTTTCAACACATACACAAGCATGTCTTTAAGTAAGAAACCTGTTTTGCCTTATTATAATTTCTAATCTCTCAAAAGAAGCCTAAACATTAAATGGAAACAAATTCACACTGTAATATTAACCAAATAACAAATTAATATCTCAGTTCTTTTTAAAATATTAAAAAATATTTTACCAAACTGAAAAAGTTGCCAGAAAAGTGGAAATGTAACCCTTTCAGCCAATCATTACTATGCAGCATACAGTACGTCATTCTAATAAACAGCAACTTTATCCTAAACGTACAGCTTCCATAAGTCAAGAGTTTTCTTTCCAGCCTACCCAGCAAAATCTTTTTCCTAAGAATATCAACACAAATTCATCAGTGACAAATGTAACTGTAGCTTACATGTATTTTAAAGGACACTGAAATTTTACTTTTTGTGTGAATTTCTCAAAGACTCATTAAAATTCAACAAAAAGATATGTTATTTGTCTCCCTTTTAGATCTTTTAAACTTTTAAGAAGGACAACAGTCTCTTTGATCTCCTGATTTATTTTTATTATTTAGGCACACTTTAAGTACAACATCTGTGTGGAAGGGATTGCATAATTTTTTCTGCATGTTATCTAGAACTGATAACCAGTTCTAGATCATGCTTGTTGATCTATTCAGAGTTATAATTCCCATACGTTTCTGAAATGCACTAAAATATTGCTACGTGTTACCATTACTAACCTGGGTCAAATGTAAGAGCAAAAACTGAAAAAGACAACACTAACTCCAATCTCCATTTCATTTAAATACGTAACATCCAGTTTTCTTTATAATGGGCCTGCGTCATGTTTTCCTACCAACGATCTATTGAATGTAACATACTTAAAGGATTTCCTTTACACAGGAGAATCACCAAGGAGCAAGAGTGGTAACTAGTAACTGTGAAGAGATAGACAAAATGTTCTTCCTCTTCATTTTTTCTGAGATTTGCCACCAGACTAGCCTGTTATATATCACCTGATGATACTGAAGAACAAAAACCATTGCTAGAGTACTACCTGAAAAAAAAACCCAGAATGCAGAATTATAGCCAAAGTTGGCAGAAACACTGATAGCGATTATATATAAAATATGTAAAATATTATATGTATAACACTGTACATACTACATATGTATAGTGTATACTACATAGGTATAGTGTTTTACCTAATATTATATGTGTAACACTGATAGCAATTATATATAATATGTATAATATTATAAATACATACATTATATTACACATTCACAAATAAATAAATAAACAAATATGTTCCCTTCTTACACTTCTGTAGACACAATCTTGGAGAACTTCAGTTCAAATAAACAGTTATCTGCTGCAAGTTCGTTCTTTATTTTAAGTTTCAGCAAAATCATTCTGCTGTTTCTGAGAAAGCAGTCAGGGTAGACTACGTTATAAGGAACAATGACCTCTTGAAACATGCAGCTCTATAGCAAATCTTCCTCCGGAGCAGTAAAATATGAAATGTTTGCGTAGAGACTACCAGTTAATCCAAGTACCCAACTATGGGAGAAAGTAAGTCTGGAGAAGCTGAAACAAAGACTGACATCTTTGATTCCCTAGAGATGTATCTGCGTACCTAACCCAGCCTCATTCTGCAGCAGAGATGGAGATCCATCCTACCAGGAAGCTACTACCCCTATCCACCTGTGAACTATTCCACTTTCTCATCTAAACTATAAAAAACTCTTGCTGCATGAATATGGTATGGGTCTGTAGTGTAAAGAAGGCTGACCACTTCCCCTGTAAAAGATGTACTGGAAAGTGGAGATATATGGGCTTTCCCCCTCACCCCCATGAAACCTCAAGGCCTTTTTTCCATATCTTAGTAAGCATATGCATACTGTCAATAATATAAGCAGAAATTCCTGCTCCTGCTGTCTGCAGACAGTTTTACAAATGAAGCTGTAGTGTAGTAAGCCGCTTCTTTTAATGTTCATGCTATTGCAAGGGGAGAGTTAGCAAACCTGATTGACAGAACTCTAGCAAGATTACAGGAAAAGTTAGTAACGCTTAAAACACTGCCTGTGGTATAAGACTGAAGGGAGAAAACATTTGCATCTTCATCTGCTGACTTGAATTTTAATTATTATAAGCACTTAAAAGGCTTGTTTTCTCTGACAGTTTGACTAGAAACAAAGCACTTCTATGGTATAGGGAATAGGTCTGGTTAAGTAAAAAGGCTGCACAGCAACAGCTTCAACTTCCTCACAGAAGGAACATGGCAATTCCTTAGCATATGAATGATAACAAACAAAAATATAAAAGTTCTTATATTTGCTACTTGAATGCATTGATTTCCAATACAAATCACAGGTTTAAAAACCAGAAATAAGGAGGAACATTCCAACAAATCATGATGAATTATCAGCTTACCATCAACAAGGGAAGGAATAGATCTCTCGTTGTCTGAATTTGAGAAAAGGATCAACTCCTTGTTAATGAAGTCATTGTAAGTCAAATGTTTTGTTGCTGTACCATATAAAAATTGCTGCAAAAAAACCATACATTATTCATTCAATACAAAAACTACATTCCATTTAAATCTCACCCACCAGATTTATTACTATTATTTAGGACTCACCTCAGGAAGGCCATGTAGCCGACGCTGTCGCCTGTCCTCCATGAAGTTTGTTAACCACTCTTTTCGGTCATCAATCTTCTTCTTACTGAAGGCCTGAAAAGATTCCAAGTACACTAAATTATCAGCATATATATGTTTGTGTGAATGTATGTTACTTTAGTCAGAATTTTAAGTGTACTGCACTACCTGACCAAGTCTTCAATAATACTTATTGGGACAAGGTAATCCATATAACTAATGCTTACGTTTAAGCAGCAGTACAAGCACATGACCTTTTGGACATTGTTGCACAAGGTTTTTCGAACTGACATATCTCACTGATCATAATTTAAATTTATATTACTTTCCCGAAATCTGTACACATTTAGACAAATCTTATCATTCTTATTCCTCTCTTCACATCAGAGTTGTCCTTTGATACACAAATTTAAAGGTGTTGGGATCCTTCCCCAAATAATTTTAAGGTTTGGTTCATCATTTAGACTGAACTATGACCAGCTGTTATCAAGAAAATTAACTGAAGGTATTAGAAAAAACGCCACCCTCTTCTTGTCCTCTCCATGCCCTGTTTGCTCTGTCAGCCACAGAATGTCAATAATTTGTAGCTATTCCTGAGTGGTTGGCCCTAGTCCTCTCAAGAAAATAGATAACTTGACAAAATTGACACTTCATTAAAAGGCTAAGCCAGAATTTAGGCCAGCTGACTGAGGGCCGCCTTCTTCATGATGACAAGGTGTCACTTTAAAGTAATCACTTATCACTACAAAAAGACACAGGAATGTTCTGAAAGACTTTGTCCTGTTAGAGAAACAGAGTTCCCCTTCAGTGAGTTTCTTCTCCAGAAGACTAAGACTAAGAGAATGCATAAAAACTGAATACGTGGTTTAAGCAAAGTTTCAATTACTTTGGGAAAATTTTGTGAGTTGTTGAAGTACTGCCTTTTTTTCTCAAGGAATAACACACAGAGACTCCATCATGTCCTGATTTCAACCACTCTCCTGCATAAGACAACAGTCATCAGCGCTATCTTTTTTAAAGGAGACTAACTGGAGCACTCCAAAAGAGCTCAATGAGTAGTTTCATTTCCTTGGAGACCATGGTATTACATAATAAATAGTAAACCTTAGTAACTTACTCTCTGAGAAAGGAACTAAGTGATATCACCCTGTTCTGCATCAGATTGACTTCCTTTGTGAATGAAGTTCGACAATTCACAATGTCAGACATCTGAAAGCTTAAGATTAGGCTTTTGTGAAAACGTGACTAAATTCTTACAGTTTTCTTCTGGCTCCTTTCAGTGTATCAATACTTTTTCTAGACCACTGAAGTGACAAATGACCAAGAGCTGGATCAACATAAAAATTATTTTAATAGAATAAACCCAGAATTAACAGAATAAAAAGTTTGAATAAAAATTATTCTATAATATTTATTCTTGAATAGAATTTCTTTCTCCACTTAAAACTGCTATTCTAAGACTTCATTTACTAGCAAAAGAGTTCTTCAGAATGCTGAAGAATTTGTTATACAGAATAATTTTTGCTTTCCTAGATTACAGCTATCATGAGGCCCGGTAAGGCCTATAATCTTACACCACCTATGCCCAGAGGTAAACTTAGGGCTGGGATTATAGCTATCAGCAGAGAAAATGTGTAGGAGTGTAAGTGAAGCTTCTGTTAACAGCTTCAGTACTAGTCAGTAGTTGTTCCCAGTGTAATAGAGATGACTAGTTTCATCCCAAATTGACAGAATTGCTGTGAGGATCAGCCCTAACAGGTTATATGGCCTGAGATATCAGCCTAGGTCTATTTGCAGAAATAGAGCTCAGAATTTTAACGAGGGAGTTCAGGGCCTCTCCACCAATTTGTTTAATGTATATGCAAATATACAGACTCCTTTTCTATCTAGATGAACACACTTCTCTGGGATGGGGAACCACGGATTATATTTGAGTGCATTTTGGGCAGAAGTAAAATGAGTGGTACAAATAACTTCTGACACATCAGGCTGTTTTTCTTCAGCAGAACAGATACCTACTATACCTTTCTGTTAGTAAAAACACACCATTTGACCAGATTCACAGTATAAGGAAAAAGTTGTTATATAAGGAAGAAGTTGTTTTGTCTAAGATGAGTATTTTCCCATTTTTATTTTTTCTTTCCTACCTCTTTTTCTCTCTAATATCACCTATGATTAAAATAGTGAATTAAAGTAGATAAAAGGTGAAACATTTGAGAAAACAGCTTCGTTCCAGACACTCCATCCTTTGTCCTTCCACAAGGAAACTTTCCACAAGTTTCCACTTGAAACACAAGTAACTTCCTGCACACAACTATCTAAAAGATTTCAAATTCAAATATGTAGAACACATGCATGAATACATGTATGCCACACTGATATATCTTCAATGAATAAATAATTCATCTGATCTTACTTGCTCAGAAACAAAATCCAGATCCCTAAGTAGATGTGAAACATCATTTGTTTGGGCTCTGTTGCCTTACTCAGAATGCTCTTTTGCATGTTCTGTCTTTAAAAGCAAGTCTGAATGTAACGCTTCTTGATACCCACACCACACAAAATTGATCAAAGCTACTCAGCAGAAGGTAGAGCTGATTTTGTAGCGTGGATAAAGCTCTTATTCCAAATTTAAAATCTTTTCCAAAATGTGTTTTCTCTCCCAGAAGTATTTTTTTCAGTTACTCAAAAAAAAAAAAAAAACAAACCCCTGTTAGGACCTCCTCATGTGTCATTTCAGTAAGTAATGGAAACGAAAACATATCATATAGCAGCACTTTTATAAGTTCTTACCAGTGTGATGGCAGCATCATCTTCAGGACCAGCGTATCGAAATAAGATCCGATGTCTTTCCATGTCAGCAAAATATTCTTTTGCTTCTTTAGCAGTGCTGGTACCCAAACCTGTACAATAAAAAGGAAATAATTACTCCATATTCAAAATTTAAGTTTTATTATTTTACCCCTTTTATTTTACTGGGAATATTATAAAATCATTACAGAAGATACAGCTCCAAATGAAAGTTCATAGCACCCATTTATTACGTATTTTTAGATCCATGAGGTTCACTTATTTGTTTTTAAACAAACCTTTGTAGTATTTTATCTTCCATGCTTTATGATTCTCCATATGTTTCTTCCACTCATCAAATTCAGGAATACTATAGAATGAAAGTTCTTGCTTATTTTTGCTTGCCTTTAAAAAACAAAAAACAAAAAAACCTAATCAACCTTTCTGTGGCACTGTAAGTAATAAATAGAATCTCATTAATGGAATGCGTACCTTTACAATAGGAGTGATGAATTCCTCAAGAAAACCATGTTTCAACAGCGATGGCCAATTGTGATGAATAAAATTGATCAACAAGCCTTTTATGTGAGATCCATCTTGATCCTAAACCAGAACATGAAAACACGAGGCAATCTTATAAAATGTCATATCCCCCAAAACAACCAAAAAACCCACTCACTGGCCTGGATACATCAAAACAATGTCTGTTGACAGAAAACATAGAAGGGAACGGTTAGTTTTAATTTGGATTCCAAACTGGCCCTGGGTATAAAATAGCCACCTGTGAATGGCACTATCCTGAGCTAATAAAAAGCTCTTCCAAGCCAAGTGCACAGTTGCCGCTCAAAGGTTTCTTTGCCTGTGGCATGTTTTCTCTGAGAGCTAGACAGCTCTCCCAGACTCCATGGGGCTGAATCTTTCTGGAAGAAAGCCAAGCCTGGACCACAGTTCTCATTGGTGTTAAGATGCTTGATAGCTTAACCTCTCTGCGCAAAAAATAACAAAGCTTCAGATATATCCAAAGCATAGGATTCCTAGACTTCTAAAATCTGAACAATAGACGCACACTTCATGAGATTATCCAAAAATAATTGCCTACATTCTTGTCTCTCCCAGACTTTCTAGCATTACTACCTCATCTACTGTTCCCTTTTGTCCTTACTTTCAACATATTTTTGAGTTATCAAAAGCATTCTTATTTATACATGTTTTTATTATTACTTTGGCGTCTCTGCTACTGTGCAAAGTTCAGTTGTTCATTTGGAGTAACCAAAACATATAGATAAATTATTCCCATAAAGAAACCTCATACATTAGGGCTTCCCTCCGAATAAATCCATATTGTCATAACACAGAGGCAGGTGATAACGGTCAAAAATGTAACCTACCAAATTGCAGCAAAACACATTTTGAGAAGCTCTGTATATTAAAACCTAAGAATTTCAGACTAACCTGATCTGTCATGATCATAATTTTTCCATATCTCAAACTTTTCAGAGATTCTGGATCTTCATAGCTTTTCTTGTATTGTAGTCCAACTATTTTGATGATGTTGTTGATTTCTGCATTTTCCATAATCTGTATTAAAAAAAGTTATCTTTGCAGTCAGTGTGAAAAGCAGAAATTCAGAAATATCCCTATCTTTTTTAGGTGGGCTTTATGGCTACTTTTTCAATGCACCCCTATCTCAACTTCATAACCTTTTTATCCCCAGCCCCCTTGCAGCCTTCACACTTGTAAATATTTCTTCTGTACATGCAAATTCTCAAGACTGCACCATTCCCTTTCTCCTCTACAGCCAGAGCACTTTGGGTCCAGAAGGCAGGGCGAAAAGTGCATGTAACAAACAGTCATCTCACAAAGCTGCCTTCTCTTTCCACTATTTCTATGGGCATCTGCAACACAACTCTTATTATAGGCAAAGTATGGAGGGCAGCAGAAGTAATGCAATGGGGTAATGCTGCTGCTACTGTCTCACATTGGGAGTCAATGAAATCACATGGCAATGAAGAGAATATAAAATTTTAGGGTTTTTAAGTATTCATGTAAAATGCTGATATGAGTCATAGCAGAATTTCCTTGCACTTGTGAAGAAATGAACTTTAATATCCCAGTACTGTACTACTACACTTAATATTTCCAGGCTTATCCCAGGCTTTAAAGTAGCTGGTACTTTATGAAATCCCAGCCACAAAATTTTCATGAAAAAATAAAAATTAAAAATTAAAATATGAAGATGTAACCCTAGAAATCAAAAATAAAACAGGAGACATCCATTTGTCAGCTAAAAGGAGATGACAGGACTACTTACCTGTTTGTGAGAAGCTTCTCGAACATTGAGAATTTTACCCCTGAGTGGGAATACTCCATATCTGTCTCTACCAATAACACCTAAGCCAGAGACAGCTAAAGATTTGGCAGAGTCTCCTTCTGTTAATATTAGCGTGCAGTCCAAGGAATGTTTACCACCTGCAGTCCAGGAAAATGTAGAAGCAAGGCAAAAAACCAGAAAGTGTAACTTTTAAACTCAAATAATACAAATACAATTGAATCAGTCATGAATATTCCTCCTACTCTACATCAGGTAATTTAAATAGGCTGAATTTCTATTTTTAGGCACGGCCTTCCATACCACTAAAACTACACAACGAGCATCCTTGCCCTGAGCAATATTCTATGGATTGCTATGAACAAGGAGCAAAATAGACAAAATGGGATGCAATGGTGGCACATCTTATGTAATGGGCCCCACACGTCTGCACAAAAAAAAAAAAAAAAAAGACAGATTGCTTCTGTACCTTTACCGTTTCATTTTTGTAGCTGCAAATTTCTTACACACATGCATTATGCATGTCTGAGTTATATACAGGAGTTATTTCCCCTTCTGCATCTCCCCTTTCCTCACAGTATATTTTCGGAAGTAATTTATTAAATTACATTTTTGGGGGTTTCTTTTTTTATTGTCCATCAGCTGAAGCCAGGCAACGGTAAGAAAAACTTGACAGAAAAGCTCAAAAGATGAGAACATTTGCACTTATTAAACATTCTCAGAAATTTCTCAAACAGAAGAAATAAATCTTTACTAATAGTGTAATTTTGATTCTACAAGACATACTGCATTTTGGTGCCTGTGTGCCCAGTGTGCTCAAAACTGGTATGAGATGCGTATTTTATTTATTGCAAGTGCAATAGTTGAATAGATGTTCTAAATAATAAGCAGGCTCAAAAAAGGAACCTACCCTTTTCCAAAGGTGCAAATGCTCATTAAGCATTTGTGCTATTTTATCAAGGCCAAGTGGTAGGAAAGGCTGAAAAAAACCTTCAAGCTGGTTGAGTCTCACCTACTGTTAATAAGATAGTTTTGAATATATTGGCATTTAAAATAGGTATTTTGATTTGCCTTTGCCTGGTAGGTAAAAACAACCCCGCACTTCCTATTATACAGAACTTACATTCAACATCTTTGGTCTTCTGAATCAGACATATGGCTTAATACAATCTAAATTAGGCAGCTATTCACACTGTATCAAAAGGTATCAATAGCTACCATGCTATCAGCAAGGTGGAATCCAAATGCCAAGAAAAACGCTAGTCTGCTGGTTTAGAATATATGACAGCCAATTTTTTTTCCTAAATGAACTGCAGAAAACACATCTGAATATCGTCCAGGTGCACTTTCTTCTGGAATGGATGCAATCATTAGCAATTAATTTCATGGAAATGCAATGTGCCAGGTATTTTCCTGAACACAGCTCTAAAGAACTCAAAGAGAAAACTACATGAACTGGCAGGTTCAAAGAATGCTTTTATGCTTCACCAGATTTAGTAATCTAGCTGCTCCCTTACAATCCTATATTCCTATTCCTGGTTCTTTATTTTTCCTTTCATTTCTACCTCTTCTCCTCCAACAAGCCACAGAACTATGTATACCTCGTCAAGATCTCAAGAAAGCAAGAATGACCAGGTATAGGACTCAGTACCTCATTCTTTTCAGCGGGAGAGGAAATCTGCAGCAAGTGCATCACTGTACAGATACATCTCTCTCCTGTTGCTAAGTATTAACTCAAAAATTCAGTGGACCTGGCACCCAAGAAACCTGTGGATGCTGGACCTCAGCTACAAATTCACTCTTGAAGTAAAAATAAAATCTAAAAACCACAGGAAGAATTAAAGCCAGACGGGTTGTGGCCAGACACTATTCTCTCCCAGCTGCACTGGACTATTTCAGTCCAACAACTACTGGCACCTGCTATTAGAAACCAAAGCCAACCCTGTTCCCTCATCTGATTGGGGTGCTTCTGAAAGTGTAATTCCTGGGATCCTCACAAATATTTATTTGTCCTGAAACATAACTACCTCAAATAAGACTACTGTATTTTGCTGCCAGATTACAGATAACCTCTGTGTGACATGTATGAATGTCCTGAAGTAATAATCTCCCTGAAACTATATCTTCATGCATCAGTTATATCTTTTCTCCAGCTTATATGGAGGTCTGAAATTCTTTTGAGAAGACTATTTTTAACTGTGTTACTCTTCACGATATGCTTAGTCATGTGTAGCAAACATTCATACAGCAAAGAGTTGAATTTCTTGGACCTAGAAATGATCATCACCTCACACACAGAAGGAGCATGTACAGTCCTTACTTCACCTGATCCTGAGAATCCCCAATCCTTTCTATTAAGATCCCAAAGACAGAAAGAAAGATTGATAGTTCTACAGTGTTTTGTCTGTGTACTTATTAAAGAATTTCCATGGCACCAGGACTTCCTTTCCCCCTTATGTTAAGAAACATCAAGCTTTCAGTCAGATGCAGTTACCAACTGAAGTTCATTGAGACAAGTTCTCAAGAGCAGAGCAACCAACACGCTGAAGGAGTCACTCTTCTGTATCATTTTCTGCCTTCCCTTTCTCAACGAAAGCAGCTTTTTATTGAGGTCAGAGATCCTGATTATAGTACTAGCTTAGTTCTTGTGCAAAAAGAACAAAAAATTCCTACTGATTTTCAAGAGCGAACAGATGATCCATATGGTACCTTCAGTCTTTAAAAAGAAAGGACTAAAGAACTTTTTACTAAATGTATTATTTATGATCCTCCAATTTAAAACATCTCTGCCAGTATATATAACACTTCAGAAAGTCAGGCCTAGTGTGAATATGACAACACATGTTGTATTCAGAAACTGCATGCCGCTGCCTTCCTGTGTGTTCACCCCGAATGTGTAATGCCTTCAATGTGAGAAATCTAGTATGTTCCAGATCTTCAATTAACCAATACCTGGGTAAGCCTCCTTGGGAGATGCAGGGTTCCTGCTCCCCGTGTAAGAATAACTAGGCAGCAGAGAAATACCTGGGTAACAGGGATCCAAGCCATGCAAAACTTTAAGCATCAGTGTTGAGCCCAAATGAGTCTCTACATGCCTTCTTAGTTGAGGAAGTTTCAGGGTGAAAAGCAATGTAATATTTTATTAGCTCCCCTGTTAGAGGTTCTTCCTTCCCCTCACCCTCAGTGAAAAAAACTGAGTAAGAAGTGATTTTGAAGCCTGGTCTCCAAAGCAGAGCTAAAAAAACCTATGAAGAAAGTGTATCCAGAAATCATTCATGATGTTATTTATGAGCAATAGGCTTGATATCCATAAAAACAAAGCATTTCTCCAAGCACACGATCTTCTAGGCAAGAAAAATACCAGGAACATGCATCTGACTAAGGAATACAAATTCCACAAGCAAAACACTAGTTAAAGGAAACATGATTATCAACTTTTGAGGCAAAATAAGACATCTGAATAACTGGAAAAGTAATAAAATACTGAAGAAAACTCAATAAAAAAAATTAATAACCTAAGCCCAAGGAATCAAAAAGAAAGGGAGGAAAATTAAACAGAACTCATCATCTCATCAAGTCATCTTTGACTTGAACACTGGAGCGCAAAAAAAAATAAGCCTCTTTACCAGTCTTACATGCTTTTACCTACTTAACCCACCCACTTACTTCATTGCTATTCTCTATCTTTGCTTAATATAAGGATGTATTAAAAATCAACTAACATTAACACAGACTGGCAACATTTCAAGCTCTTTAGTCATATATGCCCCTCAAATAATTCAAGGACAACTCCAATCCCATCACTATTGGCACAAAGATTGCCAGCTGATCCTGATTCCTATCTGTGCTAGGAAGCAAGCAAGCAGAGATTGCCAGTTTGCCCTATATCCCCAGACAGGAACCTAATGGCATTTAAAATCTCATGAAAAATTCTCTTGAACCATTCCCTCAAGTCTGCACACTACGTGATCTACTTCCTATGGCTTGTGACCCTATAAAGATTCTGATCTTTTTATATTAGAAAGGTCAAGAAGACTAGTCACCTCCAAAATAGAATATTGGTAACACTATTTAGCTGGAAACCTCAATTAGAAAATACATGCTCTTTCAATATGGAACTTGACGGCTGCTTTTGTTCAGCGTTATTAATTCTCTACCCTAGAGAGCACAGTGTTCCTAATATCAAACTCACTATCATGCTTTAATTCTAGCTTTAGAAAGTTTAGAAAACTAGAAAGATTTTTATTAAAAAATATACATAAGGATGTGAAATAAAGTCAGGTTTAAAATTATGTCATCTGTGAAAAATCTATGAAACATTAAAGACATTAAAAATAAGTGCTCTTACCAGCATCATTAGCATCGTCGAGTTTCGGAATGCCCTTGATTTTACTGTGTTTCACCGATGAACATTTTTTGTTCAGCTGAGTTTGTGCCTTAAATTTGACCCAATTCAAAATACTCTCTATGATACCACAGTTAGAGGCCTATAAGCAATAGATCAGAATTGTGGATGAGAAAAGTAAAGCTTCACAGAGCAGATTCTTCTCTCTCAATTTTAAGTCACTGATCTAACACTGTTTCTCAAAGCCCTCTGAATTTAAAAAACTGCAACATATAAAAGGTCAAGGAATTAACACAAACCTTACTGTCTAGCATTTTATGCACACAAACCCAAACCACAACACTCACACAGCTTCTTTTCCACCCCTTGTATAATTGGTGGAAGGAGGAAAAGAGGACTGAGACCTAATAAGAGGTTGTCTTATGTTGTGTGGTTGATGCGCTGAGACATTTTAGGTATTAAGCACCTGCTTCCTGGACTTTTACAGCAAAAAGTAACCTTATGGGATATTTATGACCATTTAAAGTTTCTTTGGAAATGACTGAAAATGGCTGAAAGACAACCAAAACCATCTAAGAATAAGACCCTACATCAACCATTTGAGAAACTGATAACATTTTAAGAAACACATCTGCAGCAAAAAATAACATATAGCATATTTTCTAAACTAAAACTGCTTTAGGTTTGGTTTCACATCAAAAGAAAATACAGGTGAAGCAAAATACTGTGAGCTTTGGCTTTTCATTACCCCCCATAATACAGCACTCATTGGTTAGAGATTCTGCTGCACATTTAACACCTCTGGAGATCAATGCTTACTTCTGGGAATATTAGAAGCACTGTAAATCAAACCTATTGATAGAAATAAAACGCATAAAACAAAATCTGAAGAATGAATACAAGACTGTGTTGTGTTATTTTTTCCTGTAAGTTCTACAAGAATGTCACCAGCAAAACAGAATTAGAAGAATAAAACACTATACAATAAGTTAAGTTTTGATGCCAAGAGTACTAGCAGCAGCACCATTCTCCTTTGTACTGGAGTTCCAGTTATGCTACTGGTACTAAACAGGACTTAGTATAATGAGTTCTGGCTAGCAGAATTCTACTTTTCCTTCCTTGCATAAAAATGTAGTAGAGGAAAAACCTCTACCGTGTATTTCTACTAATACATTAATTTAGAGTAGCAATTCTTAACCTGTCTACAGCCAAAATTTCTAAACTTGTTGCCTGAGAATAACGATCACTTTGAATATTACAGCCACAATTTTGCATTTCCTTGATTACTGGAAAAATAAGTAAATGTGACATGTTCCCTCCCTCTCTTTGTACTTCGGTGAAAGAGAATAAGACTAATATCAAATAATAAGATAGACAATATTCTCCACTTCAGAAAAATATTTTAACACAAAAAATTGGTCAAGGCCTATGTTTAGGCTTTAAGAATCAAATTCATTTCACCAATATAAATACCAGAATCTCCAACAAATGAGCTGATCAGGTGAAACTCGCTTTTAAATCCAGTGCAACTGCAAAAACACAGTCATTGCTTCCATTATTAAGGAATGAACCGAAGTTCCTCCATCCCATTTTCATAGTATGCTAATGTCACTAGAGTACCATAATGCACTAATTAATCTTCTGCTACATAGCATACACACAGTCAATCCAGTACATCAATTCCTGCTTCACAGGAAAAAAGAAATATGCTTTACTTACTGCTTTAAAAAATTTCTCAGATAGCTGGCACTTGGACCCAAAACTTTTAGGCTGCAATGTCATGTTTTCCTTTGTCTGGGAATCAAATGATGGGTTTTCAATCAAGCAATTAACAAAAACCCATATATGATTCTTCACCTGTTGAAAACATAGAAACCAATTTACTCAACAAAATTACCACATTCATCTTTTTCAATATTTTTGTATAAAGTTACTTGCCTGGAATGGTTTCACTGAAACTCCAGCTTTATTCTTCTTTTTCACCACTTCTATCAGTTTGCCCACAACCTGATCCACCACGTAATCAACATGCCTACCACCCTTAATGAGGGGAAAAAAAAAAGAACAAACCCATTGAATTTCCTAATAGCTTTTAGCTGTATTAACAAAGTTCCTGTACTCATACTTAAATTTGAAAATCCATGCACATTAAGTTGCAGCATAACAAAGGAAAATTTGTTTTAAAGTTTCTCTTTCATGTCATTTAGCCTTCATAACAAGTGAGGATGATGGATGTTACACAGAGAAGCAGCAGGAGACATTTCATTCACTGCACAGTGGTGGACTTCAAATGTAGCTGCTTACACCTTAAGAGTATGGCAGATCTGAAAATTACTCTGTAGCACTGGGATGCTACCTGCAACACCACATGGCCGTCAAGGGGTATCTTTTTAACAGGCACACAAATAACCTTGGACTAAAAACACCACACATTTGGTTCATAAAAAAAAAAATGTTCAAGAGCTCACCCTCAGATATATAGCACCCATGCCTATTCCTTCCCAAAAGTCATTTCACCTTCTCTTAGCTTTATTTACAGAACTCTTTGAATAAATGCTATTAGCATTCTTTGCTAGCCTTGGGCTTATGCGAGGGCAAATGGAGAGCAAACTGCAAATAGCCAATCACAAGATCTAGAAAACTCTAAAAGAACTGAGCAAGATAACCTTGAAGTGATGAGCAGTTCTCCTTAAAACTCAGAGTCTAAACCTGCTCCAAAGTCATACCTGATGTAGCAACAAGAGATACATAAGAGAGCATGCAGTTAACCATAAGCTGGCAAACCAACCACTTAGGACACCACAGAGCAATAACTTGTAACTACATAATCATGTTGCCACCTGTCTTGTAGCAAACAAGACCAGTCAGCTGGACTCCCCTACAGTTACCGCCCAAATGCAGAAGAAAAAAAAATGGCTCATAAGCAATTTCTTCCATCATCACAGTGCGAAAAAAAAAGGAAAGAATATATAGGATTTTCTTCCTCCGTTGCACTGTAACAGCTGAAACATTCACAGTGCCTGTCACAATTCTTCCATTTACCCTAGAAAAAGAGAGACTCTGAGTACTGGTTATCCTTGTTTAAGGCCTTTTCAACTAGGTATTTCAAGTGAAGCCATTATTGCAAGAAAACTTTTGGTGGAGGCAATGTATTCACCTCCCAACTACAATCCCTAGCACAACAGACCCTGAGGAAGAAATACTTACTTATGTACTTAAACGTTGGAAGTAGTAAGTCAGAAAAGTTACCTTTGTGAAGCCATATATAACTCATGCTTTGCAGTACGGCAAGGTGATGAAAATACACATTATTTTCAGTGTTTAAATAGTGGTTTTACAATTAATGAAATTCAGTCTAAATAAGGAAGCACTAAGCATTTGAACACCTTCAGAAGATGCCCCAAAGCTTCTATCACCTTCTCTAGCTACAATTCTCTTTGGACTTAAACTTTAAACCAGCTAAAAAAAAAAAAAAAAAAAAAAAATCAAAAACAAAAACAAAAGAAAAAAAACCATACTTCTAGAAGACAAGTAATTTTGAGATTAAATTGCTTGGAAAATAAAGGCATCTCATATAAGCTTTCTGGGAAAAAAGGGTCTATTATAGATCTATTACATCCTAACAATGACTACTGATTTACATGTGTAAAAGAAACCTAACAATTATGCGGTATATTCTACAATGCAAAAGAAATCTGAATCAGAACCACTAGTAAAGACTAGACTAGACTAGAATATTTCAGTTGGAAGGGACCTACAATGATCATCTAGTCCAACTGCCTGACCACTTCAGGGCTGACCAAAAGTTAAAGCATGGTATTAAAGGCATTGTCCAAATGCCTCTTAAACACTGACAGGCTTGGGGCATCGACCACCTCTCCAGGAAGCCTCTTCCAGTGTTTGACCACCCTCTCAATAAAGAAGTGCTTCCTAATGTCCAGTCTAAACCTCGCTGGCGCAGCTTTGAACGATTCCCACGCATCCTATCACTGGATCCCAGGGAGAAGAGCTCAGCACCTCCCTCTCCACGTCCCCTCCTCAGGAAGCTGTAGAGAGTAATGAGGTCGCCCCTCAGCCTCCTTTTCTCCAAACTAGACAAACCCAAAGTCCTTAGCTGCTCCTCACAGGACATTCCTTCCAGCCCTTTCACCAGCTTTGTTGCCCTCCTCTGGATACATTCAAGGACCTTCACATCCTTCTTAAATTGTGGGGCCCAGAACTGCACACAGTAACCAAGGTGAGGCCGCACCAACGCTGAATACAGCGGGATGATCACCTCTTTTGACCCGCTGGTTGTGCTGTGTTTGATGCACCCCAGGATGCAGTTTGCCCTCTTGGCTGCCAGGGCACGCTGCTGGCTCTTATTGAGCCTGCTGTCGATCAGCACCTCCAGACCCCTTTCCGCAGGGCTGCTTTCCAGCCACTCCTCTCTCAATTTATACTTGTGCCTGGCATTACTCAATCCTGGGTGCAGAATCCGGCATTTCGACTGGTTAAATTTCATCCCATTAATCATAGCCCAGTGCTCCAATCTATCTAGATCCTTCTGCAAGGCCTCCTGCCCCTCAAGAGAGTCAATAGCACCTCACAGTTTGGTATCATCAGCAAACTTGCTAATGGTGCACTCAGCTCCTGCATCCAGGTCGTTGATAAATACATTGAACAGCACTGGCCCTAGAATTGAACCCTGAGGGAACACATTAAAACAGCACTAACTTATATCATAGATATAACATTCCAGATTAGGAAGAACAACTAGTATTTGAAGGTATGTATCCTGTAGTCTTTAATTCTATGGAACAATGACTACTGAAATTGCCTAAACCAGTGGTGATAAATATGTTTAAATATTTACAAATCCAAGGTGACACAACTTCCTTTACAGGTAAAATAGCAGGATTTCTTCAGAAAGATGTCAAAAATATAAACGGTCCTAAAGCCCTGGATATCTGAAAGCTGTTTACATTTTTGATTATTCAAATGCCTTCCTTTAAATTTATAGACAAAAAGGTACTAATAATAATAAAATGCTAAATGCCAGTGGCTGTTATAGCAAGTTCATAATGTTTTGACTAAAATCTATTATCTTGTAACAAAGAATGGAGTGATGCAGGCATATCCTATACAATAAAAACACACCTAACTCAACACTCAATATTTTACACAGAAGATCAGCTTTGTTTAGTATCAATTAGTGCCTTACAAAAATACAGACTAAATAATGGTTCCTGTTCAGACCAATTTGCGTTAGCACAGACGAAATAAAGAAAACACACCTATGGACATATTCATCATGAGGTAACAAACGAAAAAACCCTCCTCCTTTAAAGCTGTTTTAAAAACAGAACTGAGGAGAAAAAAAAGCTTTTGATGGGCATGAGGAAGTATAGGATAGATAAGAAATAAGAAATGGAAAACAACAAACCCAAGAAACAACAGCAACCAAAAAGACAGAGGAAAAGAAAGAACTAGCAAGCAAAAACCAGAAGTTAGGATTCTACATTTTAAGGCAGAGTATGCATCTGAAAAGACTGAAGATGATGTAAAGTGGTTGAATTGACGGGAGATAGGAGCTGTGTTCTCAACTTCATGTAGAAAGTAGAGATGAAAAGAAAAAAGAGAGAGGAGGTAAACAAAATAGCTAAAAATGGTAAATATTATTAGTCATAACCAAAACCAGTACTTGCACTTCAAAGAAACCATCTATGGTTTCTGTCAGTCTCTAGAGTCACCTACTAAACAGCAATACAAACCGTTAGTGTGTTTTAGAAGCACCATACATAGAAGTATTTTTTCATGGCATTTCTTCTTAAAAAAAAAAAAAACAAAAAACCAAAAACAAACCCACCCACCCCCCCCAAACCACCACAAAAACAAACAAACAAAAAACCCAAATCCCCAAAACACCAAAATTAAAACACAACAGTTTTTATTCACAAATGGATGACAGAGTTTCAGCATAGGAGAGTTGAAGTGAAAGTTGATACATCGACATCCTGCCACTTTAAAGAAAAATAAAACCATTTCCAAACTGTAAAGAAAAGGTACTACAGGAAAATATCAAATTACATGTTTAAAAAAAAACATTAAAATTGCCATTCAAATGTAGAAAGTGCTTTACTTTTACTCATCACATTACTGAAAACTTATGCTTATGGGAATATCTCAGTATATTTTTGTGTTTACAACTTTAGCAATTTTTTTTTTGCAGTTTTTAGCACTACAAATATTTTGCTCAAACTAACATCTGACACATCAAAAATTAGCTACTTACCAGTAATTCTTGTTCTTGGAAGATATTAGTTACTATAACAGTTCCCCATTCCTGTGTCCATTCTTAGTGTGTAGCATTGAGTGAGGGATGTTCAGAGCTCAAAGTTGGGAACCTTTCAACCATCTCACCAGTAGGTGGCACATTTACCCACTATGGAAGCATAACAGCCTATAACTGCCCCAACTGTCAGTACATTTTAATACAAGACAGAAAAAGAAAAATAGCCTCTAAATCTAGAGGGCTGTCAATGACTATTATGACTACTGTATTATAAGAAAGAGCACTGAAACTGCATAAACTTCTGTGTAACCATTATGATTGAACCCCAGTCTTGCAAACTTCAGGATGCAAAGACATCTAATGAAATGGTAACAACTAAAACCTTAAAAATGAAGCTTAGACTGGCTCCTATATACATTCTACTCATATCATCATCAATAGCCAACAGCCTCAATTAATTCTGAGGCAAGCCATGTTTAAATTCTATGGACAGATAGGTGGTTCATATGGCAAACAAATTCAGAAGCTAATTATAAATTTGAAATTTTCATTGAATTAGCTATACAAATAAAATCCTACTTTATTTTGCATTTGTTTTCTATTATGTTTATTTTATTAGAATAAATCTGAAAACATCCAGCTCTGGAATGGTCCTGAATTTCTTGCTGAACTCCAGCAAATTTTAACAGGTTGGAATGCTCCCTCCACCCTAGTCTACTATCTGACATTGCATCTGCATTAGCTGAGCATTTCTGCCAAAATGATTAGTAGTGTTACAGTTAGCAGTGCCACCATATTAAAAATATCATTAGATTGTTGTGTTAATAACTCAAGTTTCTACTACAATTTCTACTACAGCTACTATTTGAAATTGAGAACTTGAGAAGATCATGTTTAATCAGTTTATATACAAGTCTCAACAAAAGGTTATCTGCATAATCCTAATAGCTGCAAACATTCTTTCAAATGCTGCCTCAGAGCCTGAAGGCGAATTCTGTGGTGGTCTACTGTGGCAAAATTGTGAATAAATGGGGACCTGACCAAGGTAACAAATTTACAAGAATAAAACAAGGGCGTTGTGCCTCAACATACTGCCTGACCTTCCACACACCCCTCAAAAAAAACCCCATCAACCTAAAAAAATCTTGTTTGGAATTCAAAGCAAGTTTAAAAAAGGTGGAAGGGAAGTTACGACTGGGTGAAATTTATCCAGAAACAGAAATGAAAAGCTTTCAGCAAACAGCGATAAATAACCAAAAAACAGCTGAAATGAGCTCCTCACCTGTTAGCAGATAAGGGGACAGGCAGTTGACGCAGTTAGTTACTAGCCATTATGTCTCATCAGTGGGTAGTTGCACATCAATTGCTGGTGAGGTGGTTCACCGGCCCCGAACATTCCACATCCAGTCACACACATAAGGCATGGATCGGGAGAGTGGGAAAAACTAGAAATTACAACACTTACCTTTGAAGAATACACAGTACTTTTTCTATGAATTTTCTTAAAGAATATATAACAATGTATGTGTAACTGCATGATGGGTGAAAACTGATCCAAAAGAGTCAAATTCAAAATCATTTGAGTAAGTGTATGCAATATATTTAGCTTAGGAGTCAATAAGTATTCATTTTTTTCAAATACATTTTCTTCACCTGATTATCAAACATTATTAAGAGCTTCTACATTGCCAGCTTCTTCATAAAGGTATTGTATACATCTTTAAGGTCATGCTATTTTTCTTCTTTATGTTGCATAAAGAGGCCTGAATTAAAACTGACTTTTAACCTTTCAACTACCAGATACATTTGTTATCCCTAGTTTTGACAAGTATCAGATAAACATTTAATTAAAATGCACACTTAGAAAGTAAATATTCTACAATGAAATAAACTACACCCCTTACCACTGAATACTGGTTCAGCTACACTGAAAATGACACTGGAAGCAGTTATGTAGTAAAAATTACATGCCACCAAAACACTGGCTATACATCATCTACCACCAAGACTAACACTGATATCTCTGGGCACCTGCCTAGACTAGGGACCCCACTTTTATGAACCACTCGTGCTACTATTAGAATTTTCTTCTGTTTGACTCTTTTAGAAAAGATCTGAGCAAGGAGGGTTTTTTAAGTGCCTGATTACAAATTCTTATCTTTCTCATCTTTTGGGGAAGCTTGTGGTTAAGATTCCCTAAAACTAGCCTCACCAATCACTAGAATTGCTTGACTGTTGTTAGATCACTCATCTGGTGCCATCTATGAAGAGTAGAAATTACAAAGACTTTCTTTCACCATGGTGAATCCCAGATCACTAAACCTGAGCCATACCAAACTGTCATAAATGAGAGTTACACTAGTTGATTTCAGTTGATTGCCTTGGTGCCTGACCACCCCAGAAATTTGAGAAGCACAAAGATTGTACTTTAGTATGCTGAGCACATTGCTGCTTCATCATAACTGAAGATTTGCTATGATACCATTTCGCTGCTACTATAGTTGCTAATAAGTACAGAGAACACCTAGGCCCCCTTATACAGAAACACAAATAAAAGAAAATTAATCTCAACATTTCAGGCCAGTTTTATACATCATAAAGCAATAAATGGAAAGCCATCTTTCAAGAACACCAAAAGCCATTTTTGCCCTCCAAAACTTGCCACTACTAGCTTTAAAGGGGTTTGTACATTTTTTTAACTTAATTTCAGAAGTATTTTATTACAATGTGTTAAAAAGGAAAGAATATAATAGTTCCATTTGGTTTATATTTAATCAATACCATGTACACTCATGTAAGACATCAGTATCACTGATAATGATTACTAGTGTTTTAAAAACTAGTGCATATTCAGAAATACTTCTATGAATGTATTTTGATTGCATTCAATTGCTCTGCCCAATCCTCTCATGCAAAAGATTACCTCACCTATTTATTTTTAGTAACCCAGATGTATTTTTTTATCAAATATCTGACTGGGCATAACCTTAGCACACATTTTTATCATTTAAATTTTTTATCATTTCTTATAACTACTCACCTTTGTGGTAGCTATACTATTTACAAAGCTGATTTGCTGAAACCCTTTTTCACTCAAAGTGAGGCACACATCCCATCGTTCATTCACAACTTCATGAATAACTTTGAGTGCAACTCCAGTTTCATCCAGCTTGTCTTTTACGTAAAGATCTACGTAACTGCGAAATCCATTTACCTATGAGTAATACAGATAACAATTACTATTCTTTGCATAAAATACTCAGTACACTTAAAATATTTTAAATGAGGCTCTTACAGGTAATTTCTTCCCATTCAACATGACTTTGACTCCTTTGCATGACCCAGCCAAATCATATGCTCTTCTTGTCATGAGGGCCACAATATCCTTATCAAGTTTTTCCATTTTAAATTTAGATAGATCTGGCTGGAATGTAATGCATGTGTAGTCATCACCATCAAAATGCTTAATCTTGGGTTCAGAGGTCTTCATCATATTGTTCATCCAAGTCTTTGGAAACAAAACATTTTAGAGGTTAGTTTACAATACATGCCATCCTCCTCCTTTGTTCCATTTTCCAGCTATGCTAGGATTACAACAGCTACACAACAAAAAGCTCACAGACTTCTTTTACAAGTTTCCTTTGGTAAAACACTACACATAAAATTAATTGCTTTACCAAGATTTGCACAAGCATCTGTGACAGCAGATTTGTGGTTTCTGTAAATATGCAGGTATCATTACATTGATGGACATGATTCTAATACAAATAGAGCCCACCACAGAACTGACTAAATTAGATACAAGTGAGCTAGCTAAACAGTCCTTATTGCCCATCAGTTTAACGCTTTCAATCTATGACACACTTCTATGAAGAAGCTTATTAGTTCCTGTACAGAGACTCAGTCGTCTCTGAGATAGCATCTTAGTGGCTGTGCAGTGTAGTACCAAAGCATGCTTCTTGACAAATGAACTTGCTCAGACTTGACTCGGGAGTCTTGGTATTGTTCCCTGTTTAAGAACATGGGCATATTTATAAGACTAAGCAGAACACCTACTCACAGCATATATCAAAGTTCAGTTGTATTAAATTTTCACAATTTTTGAAAATACTGGGAAATATAGCACTTCATCCAAGTCGTAAAGCATGTCATTTTCAAAAAGTACACTCAAACCAATATTAATTTGCTTTTTGGCAGTCAGCAGAAAATATTACATTTTTAAAGAGACAGGTCAAACCATTGAAATGTATTGTTTATGTAGTGACATGACAGCATAACCAGAAATGAATTACTTGTCCAAAAAAAAAAAAAGAGAAGGAAGCCACCAACTGGGAAAGACTCCAAAGCCATTTGGTATCTAATATTTTAACAAAAGTTCTTCAAACTTTTAGAAAGGTGGCCATCTCAAAGCTATATACAGTAGATCAGATTACATTCAATCCTTGGTCTGTGTGCTAACAATAACAATGAGCAACGGGTACAAATGAGGAAGAAGCGGGGTTTGCACCGAAGTCTAGCTAGGCTAATGAAATTCATGACATAAACACCGAAAAATCTTCTTCTTACACTAAAAAATGACCTAGAAAATTGCACAGCTAAGTAGAAAGATTTTTTGACAAATTATAAGAGCAATTACAAAATGTTTCAATTAAATATCTTTTTTCACATGCACATGAGTATACTTTAGTACTTCTGTACTTTAGTACAGAAGAAATTTTTTCATTTTCAGTCACGTAACACTCCCAAGAAAAATATTACTTAACAAAAAACCCAAATTCTAATACACAGAAGTACCAATTTTACTGACTGAACTACCTAGCCTGCAAACTCTACACATCTATTTGGATGTTAAATGATTCATTTCATGAAATATTCACGAAATACAGAAAATGTGTTAAATTTTAAATTTATAATTACAGCAAAGAAAAGGAAAAAAGTTGAGATCATGTCTATACCTGCTTAAAGCTGTGTTTGTATTCCTTGCAAGCAGTTTCAACTGTAAACTTTGTACTAAATATGTTACAAAGTTTTGCACCATAGCCATTGCGTCCACCTGAAAAAACAACATATAGTAAGTTTTTTACAGCAGAACCATATTTATGATATTCAGAGAGTATGCCAAGAAGTAAAATGTTCCTATATAAGACAAAAGTTGGGCCACATGTCAACAGCTATCAAAGGATGCCAGAGATGGAGTTTCACACTACCTCCAATCTGGTGCAACTGCTTCTGCCTCAAAAATGAGCAGTTTGCTCCTCCCCCCAAGGCCAGAATGCTCCCATTGCTTCCCTTAGGTTGATCTACCAGTTGCTTGCTGAAAGGCAAGTGACCTCAACAGCTGAAAACTAGGTCATGATCAGATCCAAATCATTCTGCAACCACACATCATAATATGGGCAAAATATATGGTGTAGGATAGAACAGAACTAACTTTCATTCATGATCTAAATTAGCATTACTTCACATTTAGGATAATAAATCATACCGTAATTTATTAAATTTTTTTTCCCCTTCATTTCAAGAGCATAAATGTTTAAATGCTTGCATGCATTATAACTAAAATACGAAAATATGTTGTTTGTTACTGAATAATGAGTACTGACATTAAAGATGTACATGTAAAGTTCTCTGTAAACATTGATATTAAAAAAGAAAAAGTAAGATTTTTTTCTTTAAGTCCTTTTACTCTAACAGAGCTATAGTAATGGTGACTAAGTGATCATCTGTTATGAAACAGAATAGAAAAAGTAAGAAGAGAAAGCATACTGAAAAACAAACAATGGCTTAATTGAATAAAACAAAGCATGTTAAATAGTCTTGCCTGTAACTTTTTTCTCATCATCATCATAGTTGCTGGATGTTAGCAGCTGCCCAAAGATTAAAGCAGGTACGTATACTTTTTCTACTTTGTGTTCCACAACTGGTATACCCTTTCCATTATTCCATATGCTGATAATGTTTGATTCCCTATAAAATAGTGAAGACATTAAGCCAACTAATGTAATCTTGAAAACAGACTCCTGCATACATTTTACCTGTTTAAATAACCACATAAAATACAATAAAAGACCATATTCTTACCACGTTTATTCACAGCTCTATCAATTTTAATTACAAAAAACCACTTCTTTGTGCTTATTAGATATCTTAGAAGAAGGAGCATAATTGCCCATACATGACAGTATTTCGTATCATAAAAATGACCCCCAAAAATCTGTTCGAAGAGCTCTCACTATCAACATGCTCTGCAACAAAATCCTGAAGTTTAGTGACAGGATTATACTTAAGTTAGGGATGTAGCTTTTTAGGTTTCATTGAAGTCCAGCCACGCAGCCAAGTTATCATCTGTTTAAAACTGTTATTTCCCAGTTATGATAAACATTGTAGCTTATTTTATGCATCAATGCCAAAATCCATCAACATCTGGCATCGTTAATACTTGTAGCTCTCATATAGAATTTTCATTTCGGGCTGTTACAGAGTTCAAAATCATGACAGGTCAGGCAGATTTACACTACCATTTCCCTCCCACTCCATAATAAAAACAATTTGGTTTACAGAAACTCATAATGCACTGCAAACTTGCAGAAAAATTATTTCTCAGTATATTTTTCCTAAAGATTAGGTATGAAAATTAGGTCTTAAACATTTATTATTCAGTTAAACGTCACTGAAAGGGTACTACTAAAGGAACCCAATCAACATCTATTAACTATAGTACTTCTCATTAGGAAATATCTCTTTAAGTATTCAATTTTGAAAAACAGTGGTAATGACATATTTGCAATCTGCAGTTTCAGTGTGATATAGCTGCCTAATTCAAACATAACCTTATCCTAATGTTAAAGGAGTTAACATAGAAGTTCAAGAGGTGCAAAATTACGTTACAAAACCTCAAGGTTGGTATTTATGATTTGTAAGTAACCTGGCTGGTTATAGTTATGTACTGCCAAGCTTTCATCTAATTATGAATTTTATAATCTTCTTTCATTCAATCAAACATTAATGAGTGATTTAGGAAAGTAAATTATTATAAATTCAGAATGATAATACTTAATGTTAATCACTTTTAATTCACCTTTTCATCTTAAAATATGAAGCTAATGGAAATAATCCAAAAATACTATTTTGTTTTTTAAAAAAACAATTTGATTTAATAAAATAATTTGTACAAATCTGAACTACAATAGCACTGGCAGGGAAAGTAAATGAAAACATGCTTTTACTTACGGATCAATGGATATTTTAATACAAGTCATATTCTTGTCCCTCTGCTTATTGTCAGCAGCATTTACTATGAAACAGAAGCACAAATTAACACTTTCTAGGGGCAATAATTAATTACTTGATCTGTAAAACTGATTAAACACATATTCCACCACAAGTTACAATAGTCCAGGTATTTCTTAATCCGGTATCTTTTTGTATATTCTGTATCTTATTACTGAAGTCTATAAATATGACCAAGTAACTGCAAGAAGATAATTTTCAACCTTCTTATAATTACTGACTCTATTTCTAGCAGTTAGACTATCCTAGAAGTAAATATAAAAGTGTATTTTGTAAGCCTGTTCTCATAACTGTTCTTAACATACTGAAGACTTCATTCTTCTGTTGCTGCACTTGTTTGCATATTTATTACACATATTACACCATGTATGTTAAAAACCCTAGGAAATTATATGCATCACCAGATTGGTTTACGCATCCTTTTGTCACTGAAACCAAATCCTGAAAAAGTCACGTCCATTAAGGAGTGTTTTGATTGCAGCGAAAGTTATCTCTAAAGAGCCTGTGAGACTTATAACTAACATTTGTAAGTTAGTTCCTAAACAGTTTACACAGTTTAGGATCAAAAGAAGGATAACCGGAAGTTAACATTTGATCAAAATTTAATTAAACTGCATCCAATGTACATTAACTACAAACAATAAAAATCAGAAATGCAACTATGGCCATTAACCATGAAAACACATTACAATCATTTTCAGCATTTGTTTCATCACCCATGAAATAGATAAAAATAAAACCCAAAACCACCAAAGGACATGAAGATAAATCCATTAAAATTAAAATATCTTAGTATCTTAATAGATTATAAGGATCTCAATATAAGATCAGATATTTCAAGGTGCTTTTGCTAAAATCATTAAGTGTGGTTTCATTAAAAGGTATGCACAGCTACAATGTTCAATTTTCTTAATGTTATTACACTGACCCCTAGCTCTCAAACCAGACTCTGTGGAGCACTTATCAGTGCTACATAAAGCAGCAATAAGCCATACAGTACTACGATAATGATATGATAACGATTTTTCTTCTGAATGGGACAAGATGGAAGTGACTCCCTCCTGTGAAAGGCCCATAAATTTCATCTGTGAGGCAGCACTCAAAAAAGAAGTGTCAAAAAATTTTCATTCCCTTATTTCTCAAATTAAGTAATGAGTAAAAAGCAAAAATAAAAAAATCCTTCTTTTCCACCTGGCCAAGACATAGTCCTTATTGCCTCCAAGACAGCAATGCTGTAAAGCATAGTTTTAGAGGTGTGGATAAGTGCTGAACCCAATGAAGGTCATGACAAAATTTCCATTGACCTCAATAGACCATAATTTAGTTTACGATGTAATCCCACCAATCCTTACAACATAACTTCATAAAAACTGATTAGCCCAAGAATTCATGTCAATTAACACAAAATATCAGTTCAGCAGACAGCACACTGTTCAGATGTTGCACACCTCTACTGCTGGTTAGTCTTCAGTGTGTGCCTGTCACCAAGAGAATGTCCTAAACTGGTAAGTAATAGTGACTCAGGGACTTAAGACAGAATTTTCTAAAAATCATTTGTTTGTGTCTCAGACACCATGCTTTTAAATGGCAATATGATACTTATTCATTTTAAAACCGCCCGAAGTCCAGAAATGATCCATGTAAGAATCACCATCACCACGACTATCATCCTCTACAGAAGGAGGTAGTTTTAGTGATTCATAAGATGATTATCTAAGTTAACACTTAGACAACTTTCAGTTGTCTTCTTTCAGGAGAATAATCTTCTTTTAAATGTTACTTAAAACTGTGGCCCTGAACAACTTTGCAGATTAAAAATCTTGTAACAATATTGATCATAAAGAATGACCTAGTTTAGACATCCAGTAACAAATATTTACACTGTCTTACAAGTTCAACTGAAAACACTCTTCCCTCTTTAAACTGTTCTGTAGTGCTGGAATACACTAAAATTTTCATGCACTGCAGTTTAGTGGGACTCTGTGATTTAAATTTAGAAACAAATTAATATGCTTTGAGAGCTCTCAGAAAAGTGTGTACTCCGTAATGCTAAAGCAATATTATTGTTAAAAATACTTACCAAGGATTTCATCAAAGATCTTGTACAAGCCTGGAACAAAGGTAACTTCTCGGCAATTCATTCCTACATCTTCATCATAAACCCACATTAACTACATGTAAACAAAATAAAATAAAAACATTTACTGTCTTGGTAAACCAGTCTATGGTTCTATAAGATCTAATTACTTCAGGAACTTTACTCTTCCAATCTCATTTCTGCTGTCATCTGAGACAGAAGCAGAAGTCTGGCAAAAATTACAACTGTACCCACAAAGACTTCCATAATGAAAATGCATTATTTTCTACTTGGTGGGGAACTCCAACAGTACAGACAGTGAAGTTCAAAGCAATTTGCAACTTCACAAAAACAGTTGAAAAAAGTGCCAGCAGGAGGCTTAAATTCTCTGTTTTCTACCTAAACAAACAGACCAAAGCATTTTGGACCTGGAGCAAATGCTACTTACAAATACGTATACATATTCGTGTGCATATAGGCATGGTTCTAAACACACACATATACACACTTTACTGTGTGTTTATGTTTTCACTGAACCTCAACATTTTCTGAGCATGTTTTTTCAGGTGAACCAAGCACTGCTTTAAAAAGTCTTCCCTTGACCCCTTCCTACACACGCATACATAAACGTGACCACAGTTTTTAGCATGATAATTCAGAATACTCAGAAAAGTCGAGATTTGCCTATTTATTAACCAGAATAGTCATTTCCTCATTAAAACAACAAAAACTATTAAGACTGTAAACTTAGTGACACCTACCTGAGTTAACGGTTCAACTGACCCAATGTAGGTATCTGGACGGAGAAGGATGTGCTCAAGCTGAGTCTTTTTCTGATAAACTCTCTCAACAGACATCTTCTTTGAAGTGTCATTTTTATTAATGCTTTCCGAGTCTTCCTTTTTTGAAGCACTGATCTGATTATCAAATAATGTCTAAAAACAAAAAGACACCAACAATCAACCTCATTCATTCAATCTGTCACTCTCAAGATACAAACAAAACCTGACAGAGATTTAAATTACAATCAAAACTTGTCATGTAATTTAAGTTTTCAGATGTACTAAGATCAAGCTGTCCTCTCAACAGAAAAAATTCAACAGATTATGTAACAGTTTCTTAACAAATTGTCACATATTCAAACTTTAGTGATTTACTAATCATGATAAACCAAAATAAGGAAACAACAGTATATTACAAAAGACACCCACTTCCTCAGGTTAAGTATTTATAACATCCATTTTTTGCTTAAGCATTTGAATCCGAAACACTGAATACTGTTCTGAATAATAACAGTAAAAGTACTCCTTTACATTTTAATTCGGACAATTCATTCAGTGGGACTTAAGAAACACTGTAATGCCTCTCCTATGGCTTCTCAATTGCTATAATTTACATTCTCTATTTAATTGAAGTAATTAAACCTGGTACAATCCCAGTTTAGAATTCTGATGAAATAAGCCAAGGACTGTAAAAAAAAGAGAATCACACAGGATAATGTCGTAATTTAAAGAGAATTCAAGCCTAACATGGCTGGAGATGATGAAAAATGTCTCAATTGGAAGAGCAACCAGTGTTACAGAAAACTAATCCACTTTTGGGGGAAGGATTCAGGGATTTGGTGCATCTTTCAGCGAATTTTTCCTGATAAATATCTCTCCCATTGAACTAAACCCACACAAACAAAAAGTTTAAATCTCTCAGGGCAACCAAATGTAGAAAAGCCCCATTCTGAGACAGTAAGAGTCTATCTACCAAGAGACTAGGTATGGCATTTTACAGTATACATTCCTACCTGTAAATTGGGATTATCTTAAAAATACCAATAAACATAACTTGAACTCACGTGATTTATTTGCCTGCCTAGCAGACATAACAGAAAAAAATTCTGTCACCACCTGCCCAATACCTGAAATAGCCTCCTTCTCTTACAGGGGGTTTACAAACTTTGAAGCAGGTGTTATGTGACCAGTAAAAGCCATAAACAGACAAATAATAAGAACAAAACCCACTTGCCACTCAGGTAAATATTTTACTCCCATTTAGCTGTTCCCAGTAAATCTCTGTATAAAGTAAATATAGGCTAAACTCCAATCCTGGATTAACCAGTCCCCATGTAAATTCCTCAGCCTGAAGAAAGTATCATCAGTTCTCTCTCAATCTAGCCTTTGCTGCAGCCTCGGATAGCACTGAAAGCAACGGGTAAGAAAGCATATAAGCACATAAGAATACAGAACAAAGGATACTGAATTCACCCAAACAACTTCACCAGACTCAAAAAGGCCAAACACCAACCTATAGCACACAATTAACAAGGACAATTCTCCCCCTATTATTCCAATTTGTCTTCTCCAGCTTCTACTATTTAAGATTTGATGCTCTTTTTTTTTTTTCTTTCCTCTTAGCAGGCACAGGAATAAAGCATTTCATTCTATTCAGAACATGGGAAATTACCTTTCTCTTCCAGATTTAGAGATCACATTTTTCTAGTTTATTTATGGAAATGCTATGAAACACATATTTTGAGAACCTTTGAGACAAGCAGACTGTGTGCACCAGTGATGACAACAGCCAATTGTTTGGCCCTGAGTAAACTTGAACAGGCCAAATGAGAATCAAAAATTCTCTAGTACCCAGTCCTGTAACTGATAGCATCCAAAATAAGGGCGGGGGGGAAGAATCCAGGGGACCCCACAATCCTGCATCAGGATTACATGCAGCAGAGTTGGAACCACAACACTAACTCTCATGACTTTTCTTCTGGAGCACACCACATCTCCCACCAAACAGGGAAGCTGCAAAATCACATGCATGTGTGATTAAAGTGTTTTGGTATCCGAGTTAATTTATTCTCCACACTGTCATTTGGTCTTAAACTGCAATAATCCTACCACCACCACCCTTAAAAGATTAGCCATGGATCAGCTAAGCAAGCAGAAAAGAAACAGGACTGCACAAGATAGATACATTACAGATATATGGAAGAGGAGGAATGGGAATTGCTACTAAAGAAGCAGTGCCAATAGTTGCAACGTAAATTTTATTTCATTGAAGTGGTTCTGTGAATGATGTCCAGGCTTCCAATGAGCTTCACTGTATGTATATATAAATATATTTTTATATCTATCTATCTATCTTTCTGACCTTACTCCTATCATACCTCATAGGAGTCACCGTTAGCTTACTTACTGGTTCCATAGCTCTGTTAGCACTGTTCTGCTATGTTCACTTGTTCTAAAGGGACTAGTGAGTAGCAGAAAAATAAAATAATATTTCTCAGATGAAGTAGAAGCAAGCGTTGAAAGAAGGGAAGAGAGGAAATACAATTAATACAGAAAGCAAGAGTTACAGGTGTAAAGACCACCAGAATCTTGTTCAAACGGAACTCTTCTATTTGCTCCCAATTCTTAGGCTTCGAGAGATTTTTACAGTTGGTGAAATACACGATGGGCAGTTATCACACGCCAATTTTTCAATTGTCATGTACATCAGTATTGTATTCTTATGATTGATCTGAGACAGCTCTCTAAAATGCTTCTACTTGTACAGCATCTGAGGACTAGGGTCTAACCATGCATCACAGCTCAGTAACACATTAACACAGAATAAGAACTCAAATCTTAGCCTAATCAATTTAGGCTCCAATTTTCCTATCTCCAATAGCTCTACTTGTCCCACAACATGTTTGCAAAAGTCAATAGATTAGAATAAGTCCGTTTTATTCTAACTGAATGAGTACCTCTAGGTTGTGAAAAATTACTACAGAATAGAATTATCGGTAAGGGATTCCTACAAGCCATTGCCTTTAATACAACACTAGGAAATGCATTTCTGTTTTCCAGTGAAAGCCTTACTGACAACTTGGAGGCACTTATACTTTCCAACTTATCAGTAAGAAATGTACAGAGTATCAAAACTATTTCTGTTGAGATGATACTGCCAGACTGTTGTCATGTTGACAGAGAATAGAGGTCACATCCAAACTTTGCTGCCGAAAAAGAGCTAGTCCTGCAGAAGTGTAACTCCTTGGGGAACAGTGGGTTTGCTTTAACTCAGCAGTAGTGAGGATCTTCTGTTACTCTACTCCCTATGACAACTATGTCTATTATCTTTTATAACACACTAATTAGAACATGATTATGTATGATTTAAGAAGGGGGGAAAAAAACCACACAAAGAATCAGCATAACATTTTTTCTTCCTGGTCAGTTATTATTAAAAAAAAAAGTAGTCTTAAAGTTCTTTAATTCTATAGTTTTTACTAAGACATCACAAACACCTTTTCAGTATGCTCTCCTTAAACATTGAAGTTTCATTGTCAGAGCAGGATAGATTGTATTTGTACAATCCTCCAAGTATACTATATCTTTTGTATGCAAAAAATACTCATGTTATAAACACTCAGAACTTATTTAACTTACACACCATTGAAACATAAGCATAAAAACAAAAGCCAGAAAGTATTCAACTACATAAACTAATGTTATTATGCAGGCATGCAAGCATCAGAAGTCCACAGAACCGCAGTTTCCCAGACCAAGCCTTTCAGGCTGTGCTGTACTCTGAAACAGAAGACCAACTCTGCATCTCTGTCTTACATGGTTCAAATGATGTTTAGAACTCATCCCAAAGAAGAGAAAATCTTCATCACCAAAACCATGACATAGATCTATGGACACAAACATCCTCCACAGGATCTTCCTATTATGTTTTCCTTGATAACTTAAAAAAAAAAAAAAAATTTAAAAATGCTTTCATCTGCTGAGCTTCTACTACTTAAAATGCAAGTAAATATAGCAGGAAAGCCTTTTTTATTTTTTTTTTTTAAACTGAGCAAACACTAAACTGCAGTGTTGTTAAACTGACAATCTCTTCTGTATATTTTGGAATTGTCTCAAGAATGCCTTTTTGTATTCTGTCGTGTATGAAAGATCTTCATATTGTTAGAGCTCCAATAACACTTCTCAAAACAGCACCAGCTGTTGTTTCATGAGAAAACCCCCAAAGAGAATTAACCAAATGTCACAAAGGGCTTAAGTATTCTGCTTCACAGTAAGTCTGTTTTTTGTTTGTTAACAGGTTATCCAATTTTCAGGGTCTGCTTTGCAATCTTAATGTTGCCAATTTTTAATACTTTTTTTTTTAGACAGTGTTTGACTTTCCCAACAGTCTTGTGACGTTCAAGACTTTACAGATTCTTGATAGTCTTTCAGACTTTATAACTCTCCAGCCTGATGATGAACATACACATCCACATATATGTAAGTCAGCAAGATGACCATACTTAAGCAGTTTGGAATGCTATAATCTACCGCACTGTGCATCCTCCTTTAGAGACACGTAGTACACTTCATACTGTGACCTCAGATGTAACAAGCATCTTAGACACTCTTAACAAACACAGCATAGTGGTAACTGGACAGAAAAACATACTGATTCTCAGTTGATAGCAGTTGCTGCTCAGTTTACTACATCAAGACTATTGTGCATGCTATCATAACCACGTTTTATTACGGTAACTGCTTTCCCAGTATGATTGCAATGATTGCAGAGTTTCTCTTTTGGAGTTGTTTTTGCTATAAATTTATCTAGTACTGTGTGAAAGCTATAGTCATTCTCTCCTTTTGAGATGTCACGAGTCAGAACCTAAGTAGCCTTTAATAGACAACAGTTTGGCAACAACACTTTTACTGTCTACCTTCAACCTAAAAACTCACATATTTGGTTTTGGCGTCTTCTTTCTTCACATTTTGCATTTTTTTTTTCTTCTTACAGTCTCTTCCATTGAACTTTCTGCATATAACAGAACATTCATGACATCCATATTATGTCAGAAATTTTTATTGCCTTTTTTGATGAAAACTGGGTTATGTCATCTTCCTTTGCTTTTTGAAATCACGTTGAGTCACCGTGCTGAGTTGGTTACTTAC